TAATTTATTAACTTTCTTCAGTAAAGCTTTTGAGACTGTTGATCACGACAAAGAATTTGATGTTGTTTATTTAGATTTTAGTAAGGCTTTTGATAGAGTGCCGCACCAAAGACTTAAAGAAAGTGGCAGCTCATGGCACTGGGGGAAAAGTGCTGTTATGGATAGTCATAGCTCACAGACAGGAAGCAGAGTGTCCATAAGTGGGGTTAAATCCGAGTGGGGATCCGTAACAAGTGGCGTTCCATAGGGATCAGTCTTAGGTCCGTTGTTGTTTATAATACTATATATCAATGATCTTGATGAGGGAATTACTAGTGTATTGAGCAAATTCGGCGATGACACAAAGTTAGGTAGGATAATTGATTCAAATGTAGATATCAGGGAACTTCAGGAGGATTTAGACAAACTCAGTAACTAGTCAGAAAAGTGGCAGATGCAGTTCATTGTAGATAAATGCAAGGTTCTGAAGCTCGGGAGTGTCCACAACCATAGCACTTATAAGTTAAATAGTGCAGAACCTAGCCATACAGATTGTGAAGAGGGCTTGGGGGTTATGATAAGCAGTAACCTTAAACCTAGACAGAAATGCCAAAGCATACGTAATAAGGCAAACAGATTACTGGGATTTATACCAAGAAGTATAAGCAACAGAAGTTCAGCGATTATATTACAGCTTTATACATCATTAGTAAGGTCTTGCCTAGATTATGCAGCTCAGTTCTGGTCTCCATATTACAGAATGGACATAAATTCATTAGAAAACATTCAGCGTAGAATGACTAAATTAATACATAACATTAGAAATCTTCCTTATGAAGAAAGATTGAAGACCCTTAAATTACATTCACTTGTTAGATGAAGAATGAAGAGACAAGATCAAAGTGTATAAGTGGAAGATGGGTATTAATAAAGGGGATATACTGTAAATAAGGTCTTTAGGATATCTCTCCAAGAGAGAACTCGCAGTAATGGATTCAAATTAGACAAGTTTAGATTTAGAAAGGATATAGGAAAGTATTGGTTTGGAAATAGGGTAATTGATGAGGGGAACAGTGTACCTAGTTGGGTTATTGAGGTTAAAACCTTGGGTAGTTTCAAATTTAGGTTGGATAAATACATGAGTAGTAGGTTGGTAGACAGCAACCACCCAAGGGGGTACTACCATCCTGCCAAGTGAGTGTGAAACGAAAGCCTGTAATTGTTTTACATGATGGTAGGATTGCTGGTGTCTTTTGTCTGTCTCATAAATATGCAAGATTACAGGTACGTCTTGCTACTTCTACTTACACTTAGATCACACTACACATACATGTACAAGCATATATGTATATACACACCCCTCTGGGCTTTCTTCCATTTTTCTTACTAGTTCTTGTTCTTGTTTATTTCCTCTTACCTCCATGGGGAAGTGGAACAGAATTCTTCCTCCGTAAGCCATGCGTGTTGTAAGAGGCGACTAAAATACCGGGAGCAAGGGGCTAGTAACCCCTTCTCCTGTATATATTACTAAATGTAAAAGGAGAAACTTTTGGGCCACCCCGCCTCAGTGGGATACAGCCAGAGTGTTGAAAGAAAGAAAGAAAGTTCTTGGTCTTATTACTTTTTCTTTTATATCAATGGGGAGGTGGAATAAGAATCTTTCCTCCGTAAGCCATGTGTGTTGTAAAAGTCAACTAAAATGCCGGGAACAATGGGTTAGTAACCCCTTTTCCTGTAATAATTACTAAAAAGAATGAGAAGAAGAAAATTGTCAAAGTGGGAAGTCTGAATGTTCGTGGATGTTATGCAATGATAAGAAAGAGATGATTGTGGATGTTATGAATGAGAAGAAGCTGGATGTCCAGGCTTTGAGTGAAACAAAGCTGAAGGGGGTGGGAGAGTTTTAGTGGAGAGGAATAAATGGGATTAGGTCAGGGTTTTCAAATAGAGTTAGAGCTAAAGAAGGAGTAGCAATAATGTTGAAGGATAAGCTATGGCAGGAAAAGAGGGACTATAAATGTATTAATTCAAGGATTATGTGGAGTAAAATAAAGGTTGGATGTGAAAAGTGGGTTATAATAAGCGTATATACACCTGGAGAAGAGAGAAGTGTAGAGGAGAGAGAGAGATTTTGGGAAATGTTGAGTGAATGCGTGGGGAGTTTTGAACCAAATTTGGGGTGCCAGGGGTAAATGAAAATGGGGAGCCTTTAATTGAGCTATGTGTAGAAAGAGGTTTGGTAATAAGTAATACATATTTTATGAAGAAGAGGATAAATAAATATACAAGGTATGATATAGCACGTAATGAAAGTAGTTTGTTAGATTATGTATTGGTGGATAAAAGGTTAATGGGTAGGCTCCAGGATGTACACGTTTATAGAGGGGCAACTGATATATCGGATCATTATTTAGTTGTAGCTACAGTTAGAGTAAGAGGTAGATGGGAAAAGAGGAAAATGGCAACAACAAGCAAGAGGGAGGTGAAAGTGTATAAACTAAGGGAGGAGGAAGTTCGGGTGAGATATAAGCAACTATTGGCAGAAAGGTGGGCTGGTGCAAGTATGAATACTGGGGGAGGGGAGGGTTGAAGAGGGTTGGAATAGTTTTAAAAATGCAGTATTAGAATGTGGGGCATAAGTTTGTGGTCATAGGATGGTGGGTGCAGGAGGAAAGAGGAGTGATTGGTGGAATGATGAAGCAAAGGTTGTGATAAAAGAGAAAAAGTTATGAGAGGTTTTTACAAAGCAGAAGTGTTATAAGAAGAGTAAAGTATATGGAGAGTAAAAGAAAGGTGAAGAGAGTGGTGAAAGAGTGCAAAAGGAGAGCAGATGATAGAGTGGGAGAGGCACTGTCAAGAAATTTTAATGAAAATAAGAAAAAATTTTGGAGTGAGTTAAACAAGTTAAGAAAGCCTAGAGAATGAATGGATTTATCAGTTAAAAACAGAGTAGGGAAGTTAGTAGATGGGGAGATGGAGGTTTTGGGTAGATGATGGGGAACTTTTAAATATTGATGAAGAAAGGGAAGCGGTAATTTCATGCACTGGCCAGGGAGGTATACCATCTTTCAGGAGTGAAGAAGAACAGGATGTGAGTGTGGGGGAGGTGCGTGAGGCATTACGTAGAATGAAAGGGGGTAAAGCAACTGGAACTGACAGGATCGTGACAGAAATGTTAAAAGCAGGGGAGGATATAGTGTTGGAGTGGTTGGTATTTTTGTTTAATAAATGTATAAAAGAGGGGATGGTACCTAGGGATTGGCAGAGAGCATGTATAGTCCCTTTATATAAAGGGAAGATGGACAAAAGAGATTGTAAAAATTATAGAGGAATAAGTTTACTGAGTAAACCAGGAAAAGTGTACGGTAGGGTTATAATTGAAAGAATTAGAGGTAAGACAGAATGTAGGATTGCAGATAAGCAAGGAGGTTTCAGAGTGGGTAGGGGATGTGTAGATCAAGTGTTTACATTGAAGCATATATGTGAACAGTATTTAGATAAAGGTAGGGAAGTTTTTATTGCATTTATGGATTTAGAAAAGGCATATGATAGAGTGGATATGGGAGCAGTGTGGCAGATGTTGCAAGTATATGGAATAGGTGGTAAGTTACTAAATGCTGTAAATATTTTTTATGAGGATAGCGAGGCTCAGGTTAGGGTGTGTAGAAGAGAGGGAGACTACTTCACAGTAAAAGTAGGTCTTAGACAGGGATATGTAATGTCACCACGGTTGTTTAATATACTTATAGTTGGGGTTGTAAAAGAAGTAAATGCTAGGGTGTTTGGGAGAGGGGTGGTATTAAATTATGGGGAATCAAACACAAAATGGGAATTGACACAGTTGCTTTTTGCTGATGATACTGTGCTTATGGGAGATTCTAAAGAAAAATTGCAAAGGTTAGTGGATGAGTTTGGGAGTGTGTGTAAAGGTAGAAAGTTGAAAGTGAACATTGAAAAGAGTAAGGTGATGAGGGTATCAAATGATTTAGATAAAGAAAAATTGGATATCAAATTGGGGAGGAGGTATGGAAGAAGTGAATGTTTTCAGATATTTGGGAGTTGATGTGTCGGTGGATGGATTTATGAAGGATAAGTTAATCATAGAATTGATGAGGGAAGAAAGGTGAGTGGTGTGTTGAGTTATATGTGGAGACAAAAAAAACATTATCTATGGAGGCAAAGAAGGGAATGTATGAAAGTATAGTAGTACCAACACTCTTATATGGGTGTGAAGCTTGGGTTGTGAATGCAGCAGCGAGGAGGCGGTTGGAGGCAGTGGAGATGTCCTGTCTAAGGGCAATGTGTGGTGTAAATATTATGCAGAAAATTCGGAGTGTGGAAATTAGGAGAAGGTGTGGAGTTAATAAAAGTGTTAGTCAGAGGGCTGAAGAGGGGTTGTTGAGGTGGTTTGGTCATTTAGAAAGAATGGATCAAAGTAGAATGACATGGAGAGCGTATAAATCTGTAGAGGAAGGAAGGCGGGGTAGGGGTCGTCCTCGAAAAGGTTGGAAGGAAGGGGTAAGGGAGGTTTTGTGGGCGAGGGGCTTTAACTTCCAGCAGGCGTGCGTGAGTGTGTTCGACAGGGGTGAATGGATTATTATTATTAAAATCAAAAAGAAGCGCTAAGCCACAAGGGCTATACAGCGCTGCAGGGGTGAATGGAGACAAATGGTATTTGGGACCTAACGATCTGTTGGAGTGTGAGCAGGGTAATATTTAGTGAAGGGATTCAGGGAAACTGGTTCTATTTATATAGCTGGACTTGAGTCCTGGAAATGGAAAGTACAATGCCTGCACTCTAGAGGGGTTCGGGATATTAGCAGTTTGGAGGGATATGTTGTGTATCTATATACGTATATGCTTCTAAAATGTTGTGTTCTGAGCACCTCTGCAAAAACAGTGATTATGTGTGAGTGAGGTGAAAGTCTTGAATGATGATGAAAGTATTTCGTTTTTGGGGATTTTCTTTCTTTTTTGGGTCACCCTGCCTCGGTGGGAGATGGCCGACTTGTTATAAAAAAAAAAAAAAAAAAAAAAAAAAAAAAAAAAAAGGTGAGAGGGATTGGATTTGAGTATGACTTGCATATGAGAGTGGGTAGAGTTATCAGAGCTTATTTCTTGGGTGGCATTGAAAATTGGGTTGGGCAAATATTTTGTTAGTGGGATGGACTGTAAAGGACCTGGCTAGTATGGGCCAACAGGCTTGCTGCATTGTTCCTCTTTCTTATGTTCTTATGAATGAGCATGGTACAGTGAGTGAAGACATGACATGACAGAACTATTATGCATCAATCATGTAAAAGAGGCAGGATGATAACGAAGAGCAAGATTATTGGGATGGTGTTGTACCTACACTTAAAAGGCTCATAGAACACTTGGAGAGCGAGGGGTAATCAGGTGTCATCCAATTGGGGGAGTAGCTCGAATTCCTGGGATCAAGAGCCCTTCATCAGCATCAAGACTTCTATGAAGTGACTTAGAGCTAGAACTCGCCTCGTGTACAAAATCGTAGTTAATCACTTTTCTCTCAGTCCTTCCTTTCATAATTCACACTTTTTTTTTTTTTCAATAAACCAGCCATATCCCATCGAGGCAGAGTGGCCCAAAAAGAAAATCAAAAGTTTCTCTTTTCATATTTAGTAATTTATACAGGAGAAGGGGTTACTAGCCCCTTGCTCCCGGCATTTTAGTCGCCTCTTACAACACGCATGGCTTACGGAGGAAGAATTCTGTTCCACTTCCCCATGGAGATAAGAGGAAATAAACAAGAACAAGAACTAGAAAGAAAATAGAAGAAAACCCAGAAGGGTATGTATATATATGCTTGTACATGTATGTGTAGTGTGACCTAAGTGTAAGTAGAAGTAGCAAGATGTACCTGAAATCTTGCATGTTTCTTCTTCTTTCAACAAACCTGCCGTATCCCACTGAGGCAGGGTGGCCCAAAAAGAAAAACCAAAGTTTCTCTTTTTAAATTTAGTAATTTATACAGGAGAAGGGGTTACTAGCCCCTTGCTCCCAGTATTTTAGTCGCCTCTTACAACACGCATGGCTTACAGAGGAAGAATTCTGTTCCACTTCCCCATGGAGATAAGAGGAAATAAACAAGAACTAGAAAGAAAATAGCAGAAAACCCAGAGGGATGTGTGTGTATATATATGCTTTTACATGTGTGTATGTAGTGTGACCAAAGTGTAAGTAGAAGTAGCAAGACGTACCTGTAATCTTGCATGTTTATGAGACAGAAAAAAGGACACCAGCAATCCTACCATCATGTAAAACAATTACAGGCTTTCATTTTACATTCACTTGGCAGGACGGTAGTACCTCCCTGGGGGACTGCTGTCTACCAACCTACCACCTAAAATAATTCACACTTATTTTCTGCAATTTACTTATTTACTTTCTGAATTCAAAGTTCTTGCTCAGGTGCTTACATGGACTCCTCCTTCAAACCAAACACATTATTTTCTCTGCTGTAAATTTACTAGCATACACAATGCAAGGTAAGACAAAATAAGTATTATTGTCGTGTAAAATAAATAAAACAAATTTTTTCCACTGATCTTTTACATACAAGATTAACAACAAAGAAATATTTTAACATGTATCAATAAAATCATTTGCATATTTACCTAGCTTTTCTGTGCAGTGCATACAGAATGTAGTAAAATTAACTAGAAGACCAGTCTATCTACCTTGATTATGCCACTTTCCAATGCAATACTTAGTGCTTAAACTGATTATAATAATAATAGTAATAATATACCACTCCCATATACACTGACCCCTAAAAGATTTTTTTAAACACAAACATAAAAAACATAGAAATGTGCTTGAAAAACATATATCATTTTCACACTCTTGGTGAAAATATAGGTGAATCATAGTATTGTGAATTTCCTACTATTCTTTTTACTAATTATTCCAATTATCACTGATTTTCAGTTTGCTTCTGCCAAGCAAGTTCTAACCTTTATCCTGTACCATCAGAAATATATTCTTCAAGAGAATTTTTTGATATACTTCTTGATCACAAGAGTTCAACTAACCATTCCACTTCTAGTAGTGTCTATTCTTTTCTCCTTTCTAAATGTGATTTCTAAACCAAAAATTAATTATCATATAACATACACAAGCCTTTGTTTGGAACTATAAGCATAGTTGCTGCAGGCTCATCAGTTTCAGCAGGAAAGTGCTATTTGGAATATTCTTTGATCTCCATGAAAGTTTTGCATGAGTCATAAATACAATAGTAGAAACCCCTGATGTATGATAACATTACGAAAATTGTTACGATACTGCACAAGTCAGTTCGTCAAACACTGGATTATTTACCTGATAAAACAAATTTTTAAGTTCCCTGATATCTGGCAGAAGTGAGGAGGTCACATACAAAAGCAATAAAAGATATAAAATACAGAAACTCTTTTAAAGCTCTTAATATTAAATTTAATGAGAATCAAAACCAAAAAGTTTACCATACATGATTATGCTGCCAATAAAATATCATAAGTACTATACAGTACCCACCCCACTCTCTCATTTGCTCTCTTTTTACATTGCTCCACCACTCTCTTAACCTCTCTCTTTTTCTCCATATACTCTTCCCTCCTTGCATCACTTCTACTTTGTAAAAACTTCTCACATGTTATCAACAAATTTTGTTGAAAATAAGAAAAAGTTTTGGAGTGAGATTAACAAGTTAAGAAAGCCTAGAGAACAAATGGATTTGTCAGTTAAAAATAGGAGAGGAGAGTTATTAAATGGAGAGTTAGAGGTATTGTGAAGATGGAGGGAATATTTTGAGGAATTGTTAATTGTTGATGAAGATAGGGAAGCTGTGATTTCGTGTATAGGGCAAGGAGGAATAACATCTTGTAGGAGTGAGGAAGAGCCAGTTGTGAGTGTGGGGGAAGTTCGTGAGGCAGTAGGTTAAATGAAAGGGGGTAAGGCAGCCGGGATTGATGGGATAAAGATAGAAATGTTAAAAGCAGGTGGGGATATAGTTTTGGAGTGGTTGGTGCAATTATTTAATAAATGTATGGCAGAGGGTAAGGTACCTAGGGATTGGCAGAGAGCATGCATAGTTCCTTTGTATATAAAGGCAAAGGGGACAAAAGAGAGTGCAAAAATTATAGGGGATAAGTCTGTTGAGTATACCTGGTAAAGTGTATGGTAGAGTTATTATTGAAAGAATTAAGAGTAAGACGGAGAATAGGATAGCAGATGAACAAGGAGGCTTTAGGAAAGGTAGGGGGTGTGTGGACCAGGTGTTTACAGTGAAACATATAAGTGAACAGTATTTAGATAAGGCTAAAGAGGTTTTTGTGGCATTTATGGATTTGGAAAAGGCGTATGACAGGGTGGACAGGGGGGCAATGTGGCAGATGTTGCAGGTGTATGGTGTAGGAGGTAGGTTACTGAAAGCAGTGAAGAGTTTTTACGAGGATAGTGAGGCTCAAGTTAGAGTATGTAGGAAAGAGGGAGATTCTTTCCCAGTAAAAGTAGGCCTTAGACAAGGGTGTGTGATGTCACCGTGGTTGTTTAATATATTTATAGATGGGGTTGTAAGAGAAGTAAATGCGAGGGTCTTGGAAAGAGGCGTGGAGTTAAAAGATAAAAAATCACACATAAAGTGGGAGTTGTCACAGTTGCTTTTTGCTGATGACACTGTGCTCCTGGGAGATTCTGAAGAGAAGTTGCAAAAGTTGGTGGATGAATTTGGTAGGATATGCAAAAGAAGAAAATTAAAAGTGAATACAGGAAAAAGTAAGGTTATGAGGATAACAAAAAGATTAGGTGATGAAAGATTGGATATCAGATTGGAGGGAGAGTATGGAGGAGGTGAATGTATTCAGATATTTGCGAGTGGACATGTCAGCGGATGGGCCTATGAAAGATGAGGTGAGTCATAGAATTGATGAGGGGAAAAGGGTGAGCGGTGCACTTAGGAGTCTGTGGAGACAAAGAACTTTGTCCTTGGAGGCAAAGAGGGGAATGTATGAGAGTATAGTTTTACCAATGCTCTTATATGGGTGTGAAGCGTGGGTGATGAATGTTGCAGCGAGGAGAAGGCTGGAGGCAGTGGAGATGTCATGTCTGAGGGCAATGTGTGGTGTGAATATAATGCAGAGAATTCGTAGTTTGGAAGTTAGGAGGAGGTGCGGGATTACTAAAACTGTTGTCCAGAGGGCTGAGGAAGGGTTGTTGAGGTGGTTCGGACATGTAGAGAGAATGGAGCAAAACAGAATGACTTCAAAAGTGTATCAGTCTGTAGTGGAAGGAAGGCGGGGTAGGGGGTCGGCCTAGGATAGGTTGGAGGGAGGGGGTAAAGGAGGTTTTGTGTGCGAGGGGCTTGGACTTCCAGCAGGCATGTGTGAGCGTGTTTGATAGGAGTGAATGGAGACAAATGGTTTTTAATACTACACGTGCTGTTGGAGTGTGAGCAAAGTAACATTTATGAAGGGATTCAGGTAAACCAGCAGGCCGGACTTGAGTCCTGGAGATGGGAAGTACAGTGCCTGCACTCTGAAGGAGGGGTGTTAATGTTGCAGTTTAAAAACTGTAGTGTAAAGCACCCTTCTGGCAAGACAGTGATGGAGTCAATGATGGTGAAAGTTTTTCTTTTTCGGGCCACCCTGCCTTGGTGGGAATCGGCCAGTGTGTTAATAAAAAAAATATACAGTACCCATTTGAAAGTACAGTACCAATGGCAGCACCAGTATGACAGCTGTTGCTTAATCACTTAGTGACTTGTCTGACGAAGACCCGTGTCAGGAGACACTTTCCTGTTTTCTGACTAGCAAAACACCCCCTACTACTAGCTGGAAATAAAGATTATTCATCACTTAGACCACTGAGTCTAACTATAATGCCAGTGGCACTTCTGCCGTGGCCTTTCATAGGGCTGTTAGCCACTCCACCTTCACATGTTCCTAGAAATCAACATTTTTGTTATGGCCCCCAACAAAGGACTGGCATCACTGAAAACAAATCATTTTGTGATAAAGACCCAAATCTGTTTTTTTTTTCCTGACAAACAACAAAAGAGTTTATTCATATCAACCCTACCAGTATTTAAAGAAATACCTGAACAAATCCCAGAGAATACAATTAATGCACAAATGATCTATATATAATAATTACAATATACCATACAATGCTTCAAAATCAAAATAAATTTTTGTGGTTTTTGAATGATTTATAAAAAAACAAGATAACTGCAAAAATGGTAGCAACAGAATGAAGAGCAAACCTATAGCTAAAATCTTTTGCATTTTTAAAATATAAATTCTTTAATTATAACTGAAATAATGCATCATTTTTCTTATTACATTGTAGGCCCTTTTAACTTTAATGCATTTTTGACTCACGAAATCGTAATGACACGATTGCAAACAAACCATACCACAGGTGGGATTGAACCTGCGGTCAGAGAGTCTCAAAACTCCAGACCATCGCGTTAGCCACTGGACCAGCTAGCCACAATAAGATTCATCCAACTAGGTATATTTCTACACCATAGGAAGGTTAGCATAGGCACCACTGTGACCACAAATGCAAGTTTTTACACAGGAATCTCCAGCTAGCGTGGCCGAGACGAACTCTAGCTCAAGTCCCCTCAATGACGTCAACATGACTCACGAAATCGTAATGACACGATTGCAAACAAACCTAGAAATATACCTAGTTGGACGAATCTTATTGTGGCTAGCTGGTCCAGTGGCTAACGTGACAGTCTGGAATTTTGAGACTCTCTGACCACGGGTTCAATCTCACCCGTGGTATGGTTTGTTTGCAATCGTGTCATTACGATTTCGTGAGTCATGTTGACGGCATTGAGGGGACTTGAGCTAGAGTTCGTCACGGCCATGCTAGCTGGAGATTCCTCTGTAAAAACGTGCATTTGTGGTCACAGTGGTGCCTATGCTAACCTTCCTATGGTGTAGAAATATACCTAGTTGGATGAATCTTATTGTGGCTAGCTGGTCCAGTGGCTAACGCGACGGTCTGGAGTTGTGAGACTCTCTGACTGCGGGTTCAATCCCACCGTGGTATAGTTTTTTTAATGCATTTTTGTTAAACAGATACATAAGTCCATGATCCCAAATAAAGGCTATATTCAAAAAATTCTCTGGGAAACACTGTATAATATAAATCAGAATCAATCAAATAAAAAGACAGAATCCAGAGCTCCAAGACCTGCTGCCACTCCACCTTCGTTGACTGAGGACAACTTTGTACGAAGCATGTGGCCAGAATATCTATTGATCAGTATTTCCTTAGCTGTCCTGGAAATAAAAAGCAATCAGAAAATTACCATTAAACAATACATATAATATTTGCAACAGTGAATAAAATTTATGTATTAAATATTTATCAATGTTGTATGGAAAAATAGATACAAATGCAGTATAATGCAACCCTTTATTGACTATGTTTCACCTGCACAGTGGACTTTATCAAGTCAAAAACAAATCTGTTTGTGACTTGATAAAGCCCACTGTGTGGGTGAAACATAGTCAATAAAGAATTGAATTACATATACTGCATTTGTGTCTAATTTTTCCATCATGTCAGTATTTGTACCATTTATCTCCATCAATGTATGTTAATAGTTTTGGAGACCATTACTCTTGTTAACTAGTCTCAAACCACACCTGACCAAAAATAATGTAATAGAAGTTTGCAAGATTTACCTGTCATCTTACAAGTTTATGAGACAGAAACAAAAGACGAGCAATCCAGCCAGAGTGCAAACCATTTAGGCTTCATTTTCACACTCAAATGACAGGAAGGTATTTCATCTTTGGGTAGTTGCTCTCTACTAGCCTACTCACTTCATATCATTTTGCTCCCAAAGAAATAACTAGTATACTTATTACTGTACTATTATTATTTATTTTATTAGCTTTTTCTACCAAGGCAGGTTTGTATACTTGCCTTTCCAGACAGGCACAGACATCATAGTTCAAATGGTGAAAAAAACAATTGCAGAGATGAACTGCATAGAGATATTTTGCCTGTGGAGCAAGCTTCTTCAGTCATGTCTTCATTATAGTTCTAAGGTTGTCCAACTACTACACAAACACTTCCAGAATATAACACTGAATATAACTCACCCTAGAACCACACCAAAGATGCCCAACTCTGACACCACCTCAACCAGCTTCACAGGCTCATGGGATCGCACAAGGTAGTTCTGTTGGACAGGAGGGCGTATTCTATCCATAAGAATATATGCTTCCCTCTCTGGTGAATCTTTTATCTTTTCCAAAACCTATAAAAATGAAACATATGCTGTAATAACCCTAATCATTACCAGAAGCAACAAAATAAAATTAAAATAATGTAGCAATATGAAAAACTATCGTCTGCAAGAAACTGCATTTGTTTTTACTTCTTGTCTGGTACTACTTGACATATGGAACACTAACTATAATAACTAAAACATTAAATTTTTTGATACAGTAGCAGTATTCCTAACATTAATTATATTTCACACCACTTACAGCAAGATTTAACTCGGCAATTTAAATACTGTACAGTGAACAATCTTCCCTACTAACAAGGAAAGCTATGATATTTAAAAAATTCTCTCTGCTTTTTATTTCGTTGAATCCATAAAAGCAGAAAGCATTATTTATTTTCCCAATCTTTTTCATATAAATAAATTAATGCACAAAATTTTTCAAAATACTGTACACACTCCTTGACTATAAGTTCACACTATCTCTCAAAAATAGTTTTGTTTCACATTTTAATAAAATTTATACAAGTTTTTCCAACCAGGTAGTAAACACACATTTTTTTTCCTTTCACCATGTCGCAGCCTCCCACTGAGGCAGGGTGACCCAAAAAAAGAAACACTTTGACCATCATTCACACAAAAAAACATAAAATAAACAAAAGTACACAAAACTTGCAAAACTGTAAACTCACTTTTTTTATTTCCTCATCATACAAGTTGTTGCCACCGCCTTCTCGTTGAGGCTTGAGGACATATTGATAAGGATTCTCCATAGCCATCTGTATGGCATGATCACCTTCAGGGCTCTTGGTTAAAAAAAAAAAAAAGTATTAGAAAATTAAATTACTTTATAACAAGTTAGAAATGCATTTATATAAAGTATTATAAATATTCCACTTATTTATATATTTTCTGTTGTTGTTCCTGGAGCTTCCTTACTGAGGCAACTATTTTAATGTAGAGTAGTCTCTTAGATATATGTATTAATACCTTCATGAATTCTCTGCATAATATTTATACCACAAAATGCCCTCAGACATGACATCTCTACTACCTCCAACCTCCTCCTCCTCACTGCAACATTCACAGCCCATGCTTTACACTCATGTAACAGTGTCTGTTCCACTATACTCTCATACATTCCCCTTTTTTGCCCTCAGGATAACTTTCTTTGCCTCCACAATCCCCCAATGCACCCACCCACCTTTTCCCCCTGCAACACCCCCAACTCCCCCTTTAAGAGCTCGGGCACTCCCCTTCCCACCCCCAGGACTCAAGTCTGGTTAACTGGTTTCGTGTTTCCCTTTTCCATAAATGTCATTTTGGGAAACACTCTAACTGAAAGTTCATTATAAACCCCCTGACCCCCAAATTCACTCCGCCCAAACCCTTTCTCCAAGCCTGCTGGATATGGTACGTAATTTTTTTTTAAATTTTCTAAGTTAACTGGCCCCGGGAATATGGAACGGGTTATGTGTGGAAAAGGAGGGTTTTTTTCTTTTGAGAATCTAAACTCACTATATCAAGTGTGTAGAGACCACAAAGGGGGTTGGAAACCTTTCTGCATCAAAAACTGAGAGGAACTTCCTCAGAAATACCGGGTTCGGGGTTTATTTTTTGGGTTGGCCCTGAAATAAATAAAAACATAATTATGAGGATATATGCCCCAAGTTATAAAAATATTAGAAAAGGGGGCAACAAATTTTTCTAAGAAAAAAAAAGAATATAAAAGATTAATGATTTTATCTAAAAGTTTGGAAGGAACTACAAATAACTAAAACAGAGGGGATATTTTTATTAATCTTTAGTTTATATGTAAAATGAAAAAAATTTTCACACAATGGAAGTTTTCTAAAAGGGTAGAATTGAACTAGTGACTGATAGACACTTACTGACTATAATTATAAACAGAGCAGTTAAAAAGTTTATTCAAGATTTTAAACTTTTATAGTTTTTTTGCAAAAAAAAAAAAAATTTAAAGAGAGAATTCAAAGAAACCCCTAAACCTTTTTTGTGGGCCCGCCAAATGATACTGTATACTAGGGCACTTGATGGCCTTTATCTCTCCACTGTAAGACGGGCCTCCCACTCTGCTTTTACCCCTGGTTAAAATGCCCCGGGGTCAAAAACCCAGCAAAGGAAATACACCACACAATTTCATTGCCATCTCGTTTTATATATAAGTGCCATGAAAGATATTCCGTTATAAACAAATGAAAGTTCCAAAAAATTTTTTTTCTTGTAAATAAGGGGAAACCAAAGATTAATTTTAAATTCCCCGATATAACTTTTGCTGCCGGGCCAAAAAACTGAAAAAAGATCCCAACTTCATTTCCCTTTTTTTTTTTTTAAAGCCAAAAAAAGACTGAGACCTTCAAATCCAATAAAAACAACCTTCTTTACCTTTTTCATAGGCCCCTTTTTTGGGGGGGGGTTTTAAAAAACCCAGCATCCACCTAAAAGGTTTTGGTTTACAGCTTGATTATTATTTATTATAATTATTTTTTATTATTAATTTTTATTATTTATTATATAATCTGGTTTTTTTTAAGTTTGAAAGCCTTTAAAGTCATAATGCCGGGAAATGGAAAGGGAATCAAATCTACCCAAAATAGGGGAAAGGGGTTGGGTTTCCCCTTTTTGGATCAAGAGACCACCCGCCCTCAGGGGATCCATTTTTGACGAAAACTGCTGATTTCAGTTGTCATATATTACATTGTTTTACCGTGACACCTTTCCCCCCGTGCCCTTTTCCCGTAAAGAAGAAAATTAAAATAATGGTCGGGGGGGCAGTTAAATTTCTTGAAACCTCCCTTTTTTTTTAGTAATTATAAAATTATAATAAAAATAATGATAAAAAAATAATAATTAAAATTTTTTTTTTTAATAATTCGGGCCCGGCTCCACCGAGGGAGGGTGACCCAAAAAAAAAAAAAAAGAAAATCCCCAAAAAGAAAATACTTTCCCTCATCATTCCAAAACTTCACCACACTCGCACATTTTACTTTTTTTTGCAGAGGGGGCTCAAATACAACAGTTAAAAAACCCTACACAATAAAAATAAACAACAAATCCCCCAAAAATGCCAATAACCCAACCCCCCCCTTTAAAAATTTCAGGGATTTTACCCTTTCCCCTTTCCCCGGAAATCAAATCGGGCTATTGAAAATAACCGGTTTTCCCCGAACCCTTTTACTAAAATATTTTCCCTGGGTCACACTCCAACAGATCGCAGGTCCCAAGAAACCCTTTTGTCCGTTCACTCCTATCTAACCCCACCCCCACACAAAGTTGCTGGAAGTCCAAGCCCCTTTCCCCCAAAACCCTCCTTTAAACCCCCCCTCTCCAACCCTTTTTAGGATTACCCCCACACCGCCTTCCTTCCCCTATAGATTTTTTAAAGCTTCCATGTCATTCTACTTTTTATCCACTCTCTCTAAAAGACCAAACCAAACCCCAACAAAAACCCCCCTTCGCCCTCTGACTAAAAACTTTTTTTAACCCCCAAAACCTTTTTCCCAATTTTTCCCCACTCCGAATTTCCCGCAAATATTTTTAAAAACCCACAAAATTGCCCTTAACCCTTTTAGGGTCACAGGGCCTCTCCGAAATTTGTTTTTCAGGGTCGGGGCCCAAAATTTTAAAAAAAAAAAAAAATTAATTTTTTTTCTTTGAAAAGATTAGAGAATCTTTTCCCCCACATAACGAAAAAACCAAAATTTGAAATTTTAAAAGAAAAAATTTCGGAATTATCCTCGCAAAGTTAAACGGCTCGGGGTGTTTTTCGGAAACGGCGTTTTTTCCCACCTTTGGGGGCCCCCTTTTTTTGGGCCCAAATTTACTGTACTAATCGACAAAAAACAAATATTTCGCTAGAAAATCCATTTTTTTTTATCGAATGGGGGCTAAAACCACCCAATTTTTAAAAATTTTAAAATACCAGTACAGTGGTCAGATTTAAAATTTTGCCAATTTCACAAAAATTTAAAGATCCCAATTTCGGAATGGGGTTCCAGAAAACAAGAAAGACACCTGGCACTAAAATGACATTTCCCCTTAGTCTTGTCACGTCTCAGGCCCCCTTATTTCTTTTGTTTTCCATTTGAATTTTTATTCCCAAAAAAAAATATAAGATTTACTGTTATGCAGAACTGCATAGTGTAAAAAAGGATAAAAAATTTTTGGTGCCTTTTTTAAAAGAATTTTAGATCCCCCGTTGACGGATTGCCCCTTTGGGACGATTTGTTTATTTTTAAGTTTGGTAAAAATCAACATTTCTGTATTTGAGCTCAATTTCAAGGCCCCTTTTCTTTGTAAAACCAGTAAAAATCACTCAATTTCAGAAATATGTTTTCCATTCTATAAAATGGCCCAAGAAAACTAAATAAACAATAAATACCATCGAAAATAACTGCAAAGTCGCTATTTATTAAAAAAAAATGGGGAAAATTTTTTTTTTTCTCATTATGCACCGTGTGCGCAGGATTTTTTTAGACTGTGCACACTGACCCCATAGACCCCTTCTTTCATATGAGGTACCAGCTTTCTCCCACTAGATTTGATCGCTAGAATTTTGATACTAGTCGTAAAAACCCCAAACGTAAAGTACTAGACGACGAAAACCCCCAAAGGGGTTTTAAAAAGGGCATCTCCACGTCTCCCAACCGTCTCCCCCCTGCTGCATTTCCACCCCAAACTACCCCATAAAGAGTTTGGTATATATACTTTATACATTCCCCCCTTTGCCCCATAGGTAACGTTTTTTGACTCCACTTTACCTCAACGCACCATCACCTTTTTTCCCCCATCAATTCTATGATTTAAATCACTTCATAAATCCATCCCCCGACACGCCCCTCCCAATTTGAGAAAATTCATTTTTTCCAACCCTCCCCCAATTTGATATCCAAATTTTTTTTTAAAGCTAAATCATTTGACCCCCCCTCATCCCCCTTAAAATCTTTTCTATTTTTCACTTTCAACTTTCACCTTTACATACTTTCCCCAAACCCCATCCACAACATTTGAAATTTTTTCCCTTTAGAATCTCCCATAACACAGTACATCAGAAAAAGAAACTGTGCCCAATTTCCCTTTTAAATTTTGTTTCCCCCCAAAATTTAATCCCACCCCTTCCCGAACACACTAAAAAAAAATTTCCCTTCCTTTTACAACCTCTCTTGTTTTCCGTGAGCGTGACTGCCCAGCGGGGCCTCGTTTGTCCCTTTTTCCCTGTTTTTTCCAGGGGCGCCTTACGGCTAAACTTTAATTTGTGTCATCAATCCTAAAACATACATCCCCTCAGGGGCCTAAACCCAATCTTGGGGGGAAAAACATTATATACTAGTAAAAAAAGGGAAAAATTAGTGTGAAATTACCTACAGAGTTTACGGGCCGGGGGGGAAATCATGGGGCTGTTTCCTGGGTGAAAAAAATAATAATAATTAAATTTTTGGGGGGTTCGGGGAAAAAAAAGTCCCCTGAAAGCATTGAGTTACTTAGTGTATAGTGTATACAAAAAGGGCTCCCTAAAATTTTGGGAAGAAAAAGGGAAAAAAGTGCCCATTTTAAAAAGTGAATTTTTGTAAATGAATGTTTAAGCCTATGAGGCAGGGCCAAAAGTGGGCCAGAAACCCCAACAGGTCAGCTTTTTTTAAAATCTTCCGGGCTTGCTAGTGTACCCGAAATAATCTATGATACCAGTGAATAGCAAATTTACAGTGTTGTATTACAACTAACCTATTTTTAAGGGGACTTTAGTGGAGTGGAGGATTTTCCCTTTTATTTTCTTTTTCTTGAAAAAACCAACTTACTGTAAATTTTCCCATATAACCTGTATTACCAGCGGTCGCAAAAATACACAACAGAACAATTATTACTACAGAAAAAGCTTTCCTTTCCTCCAAAATTTGCACCAGTCCCTATAGTGATAATAAGAAATTTATTGGGGTGGGACGGAAAAAAAAAAAAATAGAAAACCCGGGTTTCCCACCATTGATAAACAAAGGGGTCGACTGTACGTCATTTTTAGGAGCTGCCAGTTTATCCCGCTCTTAAACCCACCAATTTAAAACTTTTGTATCAGTCAAATCACATATTATTTGGGGTAGAAAAAATTTCCAGTAAACCTTCATGTGTTAGCTCAAATCACCGACCGTATTTTTAAATAAGTGTCCCACTAAACAGAGCAGATCGACTGGCCCCAACCCTTGGGGGGTCCGAACCCTTGACGGTCCAAACCCCCGGGCCCGGGGGTTTCAAACATTTTCTTTTGGACAATAAAGCAACTGAAAACGGGGGGTTTGTGGGCGCCCTTTAAACACAAAAAATTAAAAATCGGGAACGTGACGGTAAGTTTCCCCAATATACAAAAAGAGTTAGAAAACAGAAATAAAAATAGCTAGAGTTTCCCTTTTAAAGGGTTTTATTAATAAAAAATTCAAGAGGTTGCAAGTAAAATTTGGCAGTAAATAAACCCAAATTCAAAACATTATGAAGCTGTGTGTAGCTGTGCCAGTAAAACCAAACGGGCTTCCCAAACATTGAAAAATTGCCCATTTT